GCAATTCACGAAATCTATGACTCAAAGCGTGCCATTTTCAAACTCTCACAAATTATTTTCAATATTTTGAATTAAAATCTCGCGACCCAAGATTTCGCTCAGTGACCCCAAATGGGGTCACGACCCATAGTTTAAGAAGCCCTGGTCTAGACAAATGCAAAACACTCCACATTTAAAACAGTTCTACTTACACAGATAAAAGCATAAATTAACACTCAAATACCATAACAGATTACATGCAATTGTAAGAATACATCTAAATACAAAACATACTACTATTAAAGCTATTAATACATATGTTGTCACTGTACTCACTTATTCTGAGTTATACAGCAGACACACACAGATCTCAAACAACTCCAAAGGAAAACAAGAACTACATTTACTAAGCTTTTACAATATCACCCAAAATCATCCATAGAGAGACCAACTCTTCCTTGTAAAGAAGGTAGCCATGGCCTGGTTAATATAGTTAACCTGCACTACATATAAATTCTGACACGGCAGGAGTTTTTCCATAAAAAACAAGAAACATCAAGATTACATAAAGTTATAACTGACTGTAACAACACACTTAAAATTATGCTCTGAGCACCTGGAGCATAGCTCAACACACAAATAACAGATACCACTAAGCATTCATGGGCCCAAAAGGCACTTCATGGCAGGCAAGCCTAGGACCTAGCTCAGGACTATGTTGACAAAACTTCATCAAACTTCTGACTAGGGACTGCTGTTTGGAGGGGGGATTTATGATTGTTATTCAAGATCAAGTCAAACACTAAAAACAACAAAAAACACATTTTGAAGGATACATCATTCAAATGACTCCTGTAGAAAATGGCCATGTTCTGCCAGAAACAATACAATACAACATATAAACTCTGGTTGCAAACTCTTGGCACAAATAGACTATTTACATAGGCATAATCAAATAGAAAATATACACCAAGAGCTTGCACACAAACACAAACACCCAGGTATCATACTACAAATATACTCCATACCAGTATTAAATAGTGACACACACAAAATATATTATGACAGCCATAATCACAAATAAAACAATTCATCCCAATAGACATGACATCACTTATTGACAAATGCAATAAGATTGCTTATATAATAGACATCTCCATTAAACATTCATAACATGAAAAGAAAAGTTATTTTTCATGCTGCAATTGACATCAGTTATAATTTAATTTAACAATTGTATTAATTATTTCATAATTTAATGATAATTTATTTCAATTTCATTATTTAAATTACCACCAAAATTAATCATAAATATTAAGTGAAATATCACAAAATTGTTTATAAAAATTTTTCAAAAGTATTTTAGCAAATAAAAAACATTGACAAGTTTACAAAAATTTAGAAATGGTACTTTTCCAGGCAAAATTAAAATTTTTAATTTTAAAGAATTAAAAATGAATCCTTTCTAAAATTTTTAGAATTAATTTTAGAAGATTTAAAATCAGATAACATTAGTTAGAAATGTTTATAGACTAGAAATCTGACAATTATTTTGTATCATCCACTGAATGCCATTGTTGTTTGTCACTTATCATATTAAAAGGATGTACTGTACAGTACATATAATTATAATAAACATTTTTGAAAAATAATTCATTGAATTTTTTTATAGATTCTTATGACAGCCTATCTGAATTTGAAACCAATAACAACTTTGTTATATATGTTTTATATAAATTATAATAGAAATTCTAAATTAATATATCCAAATTAAATAGAATATCCAAATAAAAATGAAATAAATTGATAAATATTTAAAATTTTTATTTCAATCAATATTATATTTAATTTTATTTTCCTTTTAATAATTTATCGTCGAAAAAACATTTAACAAAATAATGTTTAATATAAAATATTTAAAATATTTTATAAATTTCGTTATATTAAATAATTTACTAATTTAAAAACTTTCAATTAAAATATATATATAAATGCACGATATATTGGAAAAGTATTTAAAAATTTAATTTAATAATAATTTGTAAATTAAAAATCTAATGGAATGAATTTTCATTCATAATTTTTTCCTCCTGAACAAAGACAAGGAACGACTTTGACGCTGGTTTGCCCTTTCGAACGAAGTTGGCAGCGACACAAAAGGTGGAAACAAAATCAAAAAATGCGGCAGAACGAGATCCGCAAATAACCGTTAGCATCTCGTCGACGCTGACAAAAATAACCGGGTTCTTGCTGAACAAGCCATCCGATGAGGATGATACGAAAACGAAACCTCCAATTCAGATGACATATCCAGACTTCACTTGTGCAATCACTTCAAAAACTTAATTTCGATTTAATGCGAAAAATCTCCAATTCGATCTTTTTCGTCTAAACCCGAATCTTTTTATTTTTAGTATTTTATAAATTATCGCTTGAATTTTGTTCTTGAATCGTGATTATACCTAATAGACCTTGTTTCAAACCTTGACATTTAAAACTGAAATACAAAAATCATTGTTATGCATTTAATTCGCTTTAGTATATTCCAGTAAAATAATTTCCGAAAGATTTGTAAATTTCGAAAGGTAGGCTATAGCAAAACTGTAGTTCTGTAACAGCTTTTTCCTATAGATAACTTAAAATGAGTTCGATATTATAGAATTATAGGTCGACAAACTCGAAGTTTTAATTATTTCTAAACTGAATCTTAAATATCTCGAAAATATTAATTTTATAGGACTTCGACTAATGCTTGTTTCAAAAATTTTACGCTTTTTGGTAATGATAACGCACAGAATTAACTAAAAAAGACTGCAAATTTGAAAAATTTCAAAACGAAAGATCCTTCGAAAACTAAAGACCTGTGACCAATTTAGACTATTATTTAAAACCTAAATATTAAAAACCTGGAAAAATTGTTCTAGATACTGACTCATGATATTTTTACAATGCATTAACTTTCTATAACTGAAAAATTTATGTAGCCATATTTTTCTTAATACTATTTATAAATATCGTAAATTTGTGTATGAAAGTACAGTATTCTGAATTCAACACACGACATCTGTATCTATCGATCTTACAAGATCATTTAAACCAACTCTAATTCAGAATGTCGATACTTCGGTTAAAAATTTATTATGAACGTATAACTTTTCCTTAATTGGGAAAACACAAATCTTAAATTAATCTACGGAGTAGATTACTTAAATTCGTTTAAAAAAATTGAAATCTAAACAAAATGTATAGCAAATTTTAAAATATCATATCATTATTGATGTATAATTATAATATTGTAATATAAAAACAAAAAACTACCTTTAATACAATTTTATGACTAAGATTAGATTGCAAATCCTTTAAACTTAAATCTTCGGCACTTTAAATTACATACTAATAATTCACTTAATAATGTAACCAAATTTCGTTTCATTGTTTTTAATTAACAAAATAACTAGTGAACATAAATATATCAGAATTGTTTTACGGACATCTAAATAACAATTACATCGATTATTTAAACTCTTACCACTGATCTTACATGAAAAAAAAAATTAAATCTGTTTCGACTATTTTAATAGCAAATTATTCTAAACATACATAAATGATCAGTAATCCAAATGGACTTTTTCCAAGAGAGAAAATTATAACATTCATTAAAGACTCAGGAAAAAACATTCTTGATGAGTCGTATTAGGGAAAACTCAGCTGTTCACATTAAAATCTCTAATTTCTTTAATATAATCAATAATTCAACAAAAATCAAAAAAATTTTCGTTTACATTTTTACCGTAATTGTAACTAAGGACGAAAATGTGATTTTGGATTAGCATTTTTAACTATAAACAAACTGTCTATGCAGTAAACATTACCACAAAAAAAATTAATAAACTATAATAAATTTAAATAATAAAAGTATTAGAATACTCTATTGATCCAGAAATGGGAGTGAACTAAGAATTATCGATTTGATCCACCTACGTGTCTGCAGAAGGAAAAAAATTGTGTATATAAGCCTATATATATATATAATTTCTTGTATTTGGATTTAAAAAAATTTAATTAGCATTTAATATCCTTGAACAGTCACTAAACTTTAATGCTAGAATAACTTTTCCCGTTCTTAAAAAATAAACATGATATTCAAAGGAAAATTACATATCAATAAAACTTTATTACTGTTCAAAATCTTTTTTCTTTTGTTTTTTTAAATAACAGATAGAGAGTTCATTGAGTATTGTATGAACATGTAACGCAGTTCGAAAATTTTGAAAGGTCAAAAAAACAATCGACAAAGTGATTTCTAATCATTCGAAGAATCACAAGACAGTTCGATAAAAAACTTATTTAGAATATAAAAACATTAAAATTGAGTTTAAACAAAACTAAAAATTATAAAATATTGCTTTATAAATGTTTAAAAATAAATATCTTTAATGTTGTTTTCCACATTTAAATTTTACAACTGCTTTTCCTCCTATCAGCCAAGGAGTTTTAAATTTAGCCGCTAGTACGATTTAGATCGAAAGGCCAATAGCACTTTTCCATGCTAAACTTCTTCGTAATCGATAAGAAATTATATATTTTATTTATTTATTTTTTAAATATGAAAACAATTTAATCGGAGAGTTTAAATTTCTCGATAATAAGGAGAAACGGGATGATTCTAATTTTAGAAATTCCACCTACTCATTTTTTGGCTACGTCCTTGGCATTCGGGATTTTGCAAAGCGGTAAATTCGAGAACCAATGCTAATACTTCCGAAATAAAATATGAAGGACGTTACGCAACAAATTCATCGACATTACACTCATTATCTAGTACATTTCGCAATAACGAGCCCATCCCGTCGTCTCGTCCACCCGCGAAACAATCGCAAAGACCGGAAGAGGAATGACGACACACACGGAAACATCGAAGTCCAACCGAGACTACGATAAATCGTGATGATGCAGTTATTCGCGTAATTTTATTTATTTTTAAAAAAAAAAGAAGAAAAGCAAAATAAATCCCACCTTACCGTGTAAAATAGATCAGATTTTATAATGAGAAAAATGTATAGAACGATTTCATTCCGTATCATTCGTGCAGCAGACGAACATAGTCGGCAAGGTCAAAGTTGCAAGAAATCCGGTGGAAAATGGCAAGAAAAACGAATACTTAACTTCTTAAAATAAAATCTCGACTTATATAAGTACAGTGAAAACGAAGAGAATAAAAGCACACTCAAAAAATTCCAAAAGCAGACGACATTCACCTTATCCACCAGCTTTCTACGACCCCGATCTTTGCAGACTCTGACGTCATAAACCACCATTGAAGCGCATGTGTCGATTTATTGCGTCATCGAAGGCACGTGCATCGGACTGACACGCCTCCAATTTATCAAACATTCTTATTGGTTACTCGAGAGCAGGTGTATTTTAAATGTTTTTATCCGAATATTGAATATTTTCTGTATTTCTTTATATTATTTTAAAGTAATTTAAAAATAGAAACAATTTTATAGAAATTAATTATGTATAAAATAAAATCTGAAAAATACACTAGGTACTTTACTAAAACAGAGCATATATATATAATGTAATTTTTCTATTTAAATATTTCTCCTAAGATTATATTAATTTTAAATTAAAAACGTGACTAAAATAACCATCTGCCAAAGTGGAATGACGATGCAACTTACATCAGGTTCACGATATATCATTACGTTAATAAAAACAAAAAAGAAAAAAAAATTACGTTCAAGTCATAGGCTATAAAGAGAATAAATAAATAAAAACGAACCAATTTTCATACTTCAGTTTACTCAAGAATGAAGAAATTTATGCAACTGTTAAAAATGAAATTAACAAATACATTGACTGTGATTAACAGGAAAACATTCAATATTTAGTAAATCAAAAGAAAATCATGTCTACTGTTGCATGCAATAGGTATAGTTCATATATTAAAATTTATAGCCCATGGTAAGGGATAAATAAATTGAAAAATGAATTAGTATAAAATTAAAGGTTCTTAAAACTCGCCTTATTAAAAAAACAGGTACAGGGTCAATTAACTGATATCTATCGGAGACATCGAGACAAGTTCATCAACCGACTTTCCTATTACCAATTACATGTTTTTGATTTCAATGTTTTATTTCTGCAACGTTTCACTACGATAGTTAATAATGCTAAAGGTCTAATTTAGAATAATGTGTGACCCAATTTGGAAAGTACTCAAGGATGATAACAATTTATCATCCTTGGAGAATCTAAATCTGAAAAATTGGAAACTTTTCAATTGATTTAAGATATTCGGGTTAAAATGAATATTAATTAGTTACGGATTATCGAAATCTAAGATTTATCCGACTTAGTTACGTTGAAAACTTAGTAAATAAAAATTATAAATAATCTAATTATTTATTAATTAAAGAATTAATGATATTAATGAAACTGATCAACATGCATATAGATTAGATATACATTTTGGGTATGCTTGTCTAATCTATTTTATAATAATTACTGTAATATTTTAAAAATGATTAAGTCAATGAATTAAGAAATGCAACTTTTTGATCACATAACTTTATGCTGCACTTTTAACAAGTTACATATATTTCTAGTCAGAATTCAAAAGATGCTAACTGAACAAAAACTTTTTACATCTGCAATATCGCTTTTTGAGGTTCTCTAATTATTAATTAAAACGAAACTGTATATATAACGAAGACTTAAAAAAAAAAAAAAATGTCTCAACTGTTTCTTAACTGATGTACGACGCCATATTTCTGCACACTAATGGTTAATCGAATTCCATTTTGACTTCTGGAATGCATTTTCCTCGACAGGGGAAAAATACTCATCAACCGTCATTTGTTAAGGGAAGAAATTAATTTATTGCTTATAGGAATATGTGATGTGAATATCAACTCTTTTCCTCGTTGATTAAATTTCCAATATTTTTTTTTACCTACACTCCATCAAAAACTTTATTATTGAAATTTATTTTATCCTATTTATTCTTGTACAGTTATTTTTCAGCTTGGAGCTTTAATGTAAAAATATTTTTAACTGTATATTTATAATTAACATATATAATACAAAGTACTATACAGTATGTTGAAATAATTTTAAGAAATTGCTTAACTAATTTAGTGGCGCCATCTGCTATGCATAATTTAAAATTTTTCGGAGATGCATGTGTTAAATTTTATATAAAGAGAAATCAGCATTAATATATATTAAGCACGAAAGAATATAACATAGTTTAATTNATATCATTATTGATGTATAATTATAATATTGTAATATAAAAACAAAAAACTACCTTTAATACAATTTTATGACTAAGATTAGATTGCAAATCCTTTAAACTTAAATCTTCGGCACTTTAAATTACATACTAATAATTCACTTAATTTAAAATTTTTCGGAGATGCATGTGTTAAATTTTATATAAAGAGAAATCAGCATTAATATATATTAAGCACGAAAGAATATAACATAGTTTAATTCCATATAAAAAATGTTTACACGCTTCACATAAAATAGAATATTCCAGTCTCTTTCTTTTCCTTTCTTCTAATACTGAATAGAAAAATGTCCTTGAAGTTATTTTTCCTAATAACTGAGGATAACGGTAACGAAGACTTAATTTTAAATTAGATTATTTTATATATGCAACCGAATTTAATATTTTCGATATCAAAATATTAATTTTATTTAAACATTGATAAATCTGTGAAGCAATATATATATATTTGAGATAATTTTAAGTTAAGAGATAACACATTTCTCCATTTTCCATCACCACTAGAATAAAGGATAGAATAAAGAATATTTAACATTAAAAAATCTCTTTAATATTTTAAAATCATTTTTGAATGTAGTACAATCTCTTCTCGATACACTAAATTAGTACAGTACATAATTGCTAATATTTAACGTAGTAAAAATCCGTAATCCTAACAGAATTTTTTATTAGTAAAAAATTTAGATTCATAAATTCCCCGTTAATTACTTTTTTTAATGCCAATTTTTCAAATTTACCTTTTATATTCTGGATAATGCTTTATACTTGTGATTTACGGTACTTATAAAATAATTCGAATCGCAGTAACACTCAAGATTACACTAACATCCTAGATTGCTAAATCAATCTCGTATAAAGCACGTGGAACTGGAAGGTTAACGCGCTTGCGCAAAATCCACAATAGAGGGTGTGACGGTAAAATAGAGAACATAAGCGAAAAATTTAAATTTGAGAATCTGTGTAAATTGTTTGAATGTTTTGAATCACATATTTAAATTTTCGAAATATAAAACGTTCAATTTTTAATGCTTATTATTTTTAATCAAAATTTTGCTGTTGTACTTGTAACGAAGTAGCGTAATCATTCCCCTTACTAAAGTGGAATACTCCATAACATAATCTCGTACCCAATGACTTGTATATTTTATTTGATTAATAGAGGGCGAAAAGTTTTAAAAAATTTCGAAATTTTTCATAAGTGCAAACGTTTATAAAATTTAAAAAAAGATTACTTTTATATTTTAAGTAATATACTGTTATTTAATTATGTTTTAAAATATTAAAATAAATTTTTTTTTGTTTTTTATTATTAAAAGCACATCTCTTCGTACAATCTCTTCTGCTGTAATGCACGAATTTGTTCATTCGCGGTAAAATAAAATCATTAAAACGAAAATTTGCGTTAGCTCATATGCGATTTTTCACACGTCGCGCCCTAGAATAATATCGTGTGATCGCGAAAAAAGCGAACCAGCTGAATGTGTAAAAATACTTGTAACTTGTAATACAGTAACTTGTAACAGTAACTTGTAAAAATACAGTAACTTGTGTAAAAATACACCGAATATTCAGATCTTCTCTACCTTTAACTACTTTTTCACGAGTTTGTATCACACTATTCTATTGAGTTTCGAGTTTAGTACTTTTCTTCATAAAATTATTTAATACAAACAGCTAGTAGCTCAAACATAAATGAACGCCATGATTATAAAAGTTCTAGTTTTAAACGAAAAAGAAACTTTTAAGTGTTATATCGCATTGATGGAATAAGGCAACGCCGCAATGCAACACTTGGACAATCTGTCAAGAGAAGGATTCTACCCGGAAAAGCTTTCTATGAGAAACTGATCCCTAATTAAGTGTTAGACATCGTGAATAAACTCGGAAAACTGCACGTGACTCGCTTGTTGGTGTGACTATGCTCAAGCAAAGTTTCGCCGCAAAGTGATTGCAGCACTCGAAGTGAAGAAATATTTATTACGCCATTTTCGTAGCATTGGAGCTATTGGTAGCTTAGGAGTCATTGTATCTATCGACTCCGTCACTATTAAATCATACATATGTTCCCATAATGTATGATTTAATACAAACATTTAAAGTGTATAAAGTAGAAGTTGAAGACCACCTTCCTACAAGATAAAAATTCATATATTAAAAATATAAATAAATCAAAGAAATATTTACTAATGAAATGCAAACAAATATAAGAAGAGATTATAAATTTATTTTAAAAGCATTTACAGGCACAGATAAAAAAAGGCAAAATCACACATTCTATAGTTAGAATTTAATTGCATTAATCTTCAAATCAAGTTTAATTACAGTACTAACAATTCATTAATTGCATTTTAATTAATAACATTTTAAATTAAGGAAATAATTAAATAAAATGTTTATTTATCTAATTTTTATTTAAAATGTTTATCAAAATATTTTATTCCAATCACATTTGACACTACAAAATAAAACTAAGAGCATGTGGAATCATTGCTATTTTTGGAGGAGCAACCTCCCGTACTATTTTTAAGTTCAGTTTAGGGAAATACTCCTGTAATATTATAGACTGCTTTTAAAATCTTTCTGCATTTATACACAATTACAAGCGAGTTCCGCGAGTCTGACCACCAAGAACACTTTTTCTTCTAGCTACTTCAGTTGATTCGCCTTTCATTTTCCACTATTTAAGTTATTTTTTTGAAGTGACAATTTTAGCTGCAACAAATATTTACCAAATGTATGAAGAGCAGTAACAATGCAGATTTTGTTTTCATAAAATTTGTTTTTATAAAATTTTTGACGTCTTAGGCACATTTTTGGCTTAATTTAACAGATGTTGGTTGTGGCGCCCCTAAATTTTTGGTCCTATTGCGCCTATAGTTCCGGGTGGCCCTGATTTCACTATAAAATTTTACTTGTTCACCCAAGAATCCTTTGATGAACAAGTAAATGTAATTCATCAAATAAAACTCCCCACATCTCGTGCGTATGTCCACAGCTTTGAAAGCGAGTTCCGCTTGTCTGATCACAAAGTAAACGAATGCCAATTTTGGTTACTTTTAAGAACCTAACCTGAAATATCCATGTTATTTTTTAACATCACTATTGATGTTCGGGTATTAAAATTCTACAAAGCTATTAAATA